GTGACAAAAGATTTCAAGTATGCTTTTAAAAAGAGCTCCATTTTGTCTAAGTAAATGTCTAAGTATCTTTCCATATTCTGGAAACTTCCAGCTTTAATTCACCCAAAAAGTCAGAAAACTACCTTTGCTTGAGTTGAACTCAATGAGATGGAAAAATACCTGAAATCAAATGTCAGAAACATTCCACAAAACTTCATCTCAAGACTTTTAATTGCATTTAAAAGCATCTGGATGACTCTGTAACATCTGGAAGATTCTCTTAATTTAAGCATACAGCATAGGCAAAAACCAGATTTTAAAGCAAATATCATCTAATAAAAATATAACAGACCCAGAGAAAATGGGCATAAGCTAAGTGACACATAAAACAACAGGAAATAGCCAAAGAACATGGAATGTAAGTGGATAGGATTATCCGGCATCTACCTTCTGCTACTTGGTGGGCCTCATTCAGACTGGGACTTTGGGAAAATTGTTAGGTACAGTCATAAAAATGTAGATTGGAAAGCTGCTGTTGGCAATCATCATGCCAAGATGGGAGAGACATGTTTCCTTCCTTAAGACGCCCAGAAATTTTTGTACTTATTGTTGATTCTTATGGGCTCCTTGAAAATATTTGCACTCAGCAATGAGAAGATAAAGAGTACTTCCTTCTTTTAATGAGTGGATTAGCATTTCTAATTTAAAATGAAGCAAATACTTTTCAGCTGCTGGAGTAACTGTAATGCTTTCAGATATCTTGGAGTTTATAGGGGTGTCTCCCCCACAACCTGTTCATTCCTCCCAGTAAGCTGTGGAGTATCATCATCACTTCCACTGCACAGGGGAAAAACTGAGAGTATCACCGGCTTCGGAGAATTCATCTCTTTAAATTTCATTTCTTTTTTCCACTCAGATTCAGTGAAATTCCCCGACATCACTAAGGTACTCCCGATGCTTGCCCTGGGAACACTGGGCATGGGAATATAAGCCTGAACCTTCTGTTCCTTATTCTGTCCTGTTACTAGACTGCTTTGCCTACCAGTCCTTACAGTTCTGTGATTCTTTGTTAGTTTTCAAACCACAATCTAAGAAAATGAAAAACACATTGTAGTTAACATACCGCCTCCTATGCTAGTCACTATGTCAAACTGTGAACAGCTGTGGACTTTGCTATTATTGCTTTTTATTGTGCACTAATTACATAAAACCTTGCCTTCATTCATCAGAGATGCCTTTTTTAAACCACTAAATTAATATTTGACCAGGTTTCCTAGCTTGCAGGTTCTCCCAAAGGAAAGGAGACTTATCCCTGAGAGGTCACCATGTCCTTCCATCCTGAGTCTTCCGTATGGATTCAGTTACCCACGGGCTAGATTCCATCTGGATTTGCCAGGGCAGCAGAATAAATTAAAGGACCTCAAGGAGGTGATCCTAGATCCGTCTCTGTCTCTCCAATTTGTCAAAGGTTTTTCTCCTTTCTCTAGGGACGGTGTTACCATCCTTCATGCCACTTCTCTGCCTTGAGCTGTAGCTGCAGTAACACAATGCAAACACGGCAGCCTTTCCAGAGTATGCCATATGCCTTTTGCATTCTTCCCAGAACTTCTCCAACAGGGGAAGGAGGAGACTGCTGGGCCTGAGCACAAGAACAGTCCAGAAGTGCAGGACAGTCGATGCCCACAGGATGACCCCAACCAGTGGGAACCAAAGACCCGTCATTAAGTGCTCCAGTCACCACTCTTTCCACTGACAATTCTCTATGCTACTTTCAAGGTCACCTAACCCACCTTGAAGGCAGCAGTGATCTAGGTAGCTTATGTCCTACCTTCCCTACCTCACCGCCTGCCACTCTCTCATATCTGCTTCCCATCATCTCTCATAAAAACTACCTGCACACAGTCCTTCCTTCAGGCTCTGCTTTTTTGGAGTAACCATTTATATGGACAGAAATATTCTCCTTCACCTTAAGCAAAGCTGCTGGAAAATGAAAGGTCCATGGCTATGTCTGGAGAAGGCGGAAGTTATTGTTGAAAAGGTCATTGACATCTCCAGCACCTTCAATACAGATCACCTTCCCCAGGTCTTCAAGTTGGGATTTAATTATGATCTTTATAATAACATTCAGTGAGAGGGACCATGGCCTTAAAGGACTTAAAAAGTCAGTACCACTGAGTTGCTACTTCTTGACGTGGACAACAACAGCAATGTGTGAGCTCCAGTGGTAAAACTAGATAGGGTCCTAGAAGTCCCAGCCTAATAATGGCAGTTTACCAATTGAATTTGAATGAGTTGTCCAAGACTGCATTGACATTTACGGAAAAGCAGCACCCAGAGCCAGTTCTCTAGACTTTCTAGTGCTCTATATAAAAATGGAAAGACAAGACCCTTACAAGACCATTCTAGACTTGGGGCCTTTGCACTTGCTATTGCCTTCTCCTGGAATGTTCTTGACTACTGGTTTTCCGTCTCAGCTCAACTGCCAACTCCTCAGAAGCCTTTCCTGTCCACTCCAGTTAGGACAGCCCATCCCTCCAGCTACTGTGACGTCACCTTATTTTGTTTCCATAGCACTTAACACAGCCTGATATTACTTGGTTCATTTATTTAGTTATGTGTTTATTGTGAATCCACTGTCTGTCATCTTCTCTGCTTTATTCCAGCTTCCAGCTTACCGTGAGGGCTCAGTGTTTGAATGGGAGAGATGATAGCTATCTTGTATGCTCTATGATAAAGATCACTTGCATTTATTGCCACATGACTGCTGTTCTTGAGGATACAGACCACTGGAGAAGAGTCCGGCTTTCTGATTAGATGAGTCCATAGATTAACTCTTTGGAATCTCTGGCATTGCTTAAGGTCCAGGAATGTTGAGTTTGGTTCTGTGGGCTCTTCATCCATGGGACACAATGTTTCTCCTGATAGGTTCCACCCAAACTCAAGGAATCCATCAGTGTAGAACCCATCCATGTCATCAGGCCACACAAGAAGACAAAGAAGAGGAATGAAGGAGTCAATTTTTTCATCCTCCCCCGTGGCCTACTTTGAGCCCAGGTATGTTGAGTATAGTGATCCTAAAGCCATGAGATTTTAAAAGAATGCTAAGGCCTGGCTCGAGAGCTTAGTGGGGGGAAAGAAAAGGAGCCTTGCATGGTTCAGACTTGCTTACCAGCAGAGGGGACTGAATCACTGCCAGCCAGGGACAACAACTGTGCATCACAGCTCAGGCACCTTGTGCTATATACATTCCCAGAAACCTTCAGTGCAGTGTTAGGAGACTGGATAAGAATGCAATCTAGCCAGAGAAAGCTAGACACATACATAGACAGCACAGTCACAGTTCATCCTTGGCAATTGCTTTTCAGGCACTTCTAACCTGACAGAATCTTTGCAGCCTTTTGTGTGCACAGACATCTAAGGATACCCTTGTACTCTTGCTTGGAGCTGGGATAGTTTGCAGGAGAAATTTTATAATCCCATGTACAAAATGGAGTGGAGTTGATTCATTCAATAATATTCAGGTGGGCTGGGGATATAGTTCAGTGGGACAAGCACCTGCCTGGCAAGTGCAAGGTCTTGAGTCCAATTCCGGGTACAAAAAAAATAATAATGTTCAGGTTAGGTAATTTCAACATGCAGGGCAGTTTTTATTTGAAAACTATTCTATGATATATGTACCAATACTCCTAATTAGTCTTAAGTTCTGATTGCTAAAGTAAAATATAATGAAGATCTCTACATAGTTATCTAAAGAGGACAGGAAGGGCAGGCCAGGAGCGAATGGTCAAGTGTCTAGACATGAAGGCAGAGCCTCTTGCCACCCTCAGCTTTGTCTACAGGATGAAGAAAAGCCAACTGGAAGAAACAGGTGCAGTGAGAGTGTATGAGAACTGAATCTCATGAATAATTGCTGCAGTCTGTGAGCTCTCTGAGAGTTACTGATCAGCATCTCTGTTTCTCCCCCAAACCTATTTTTCCCAGTCCCTCCTATTTTTTATGAATGGGTTGCTATTTATCAATATGTACAAGGATTAAGAAAACATATTCACTGCCCTTAAATGCTCTTATACTGCACTGGGACAGGTAGACATATAAATAGGTATTGCAAGTAATGACCCCTTCCTTGGAAATTACCTGATAAAGCATTATACACTAAAGTAATGCTGACTCATAGGAAATAGTATGAATAATAATGAATGTCTTCTATGGATATCAGAAACCAGAGAAGAGATCAAGTCCTAGCACACTGAACTTGGTGGGATTTCCAGTGTTTGCATTTTTCCTTTATAGTTTAACATGGTCCATATATTAATGTCAAATGAGAACTTTGACCATCTTAACCTTGCAGCAGGGTTTTATACAGAAGGGGCTCCCTGCCCCATCCGAAATGCTGCTCCTTATTGATTCTTTAGCTAGTGTTCTCAATTAAAACTCTTTATAATGAGAAGTTTTCATAAATAAGGTGGAGCTGTATGTGATTTTATGACATCATCTGGTTATAGATCCACTGAAAACAACTTAGTACAATTTGTCCTCAGTGCAGTTTAGTGACTAATCCTGACCCTGTGCCATAGATTTCCAGCAGGAGCAGAGAGGAAACTACGGCACAGATATACCCTAAGTAACCTTAGCCTTTAATGGTATAATATTAAACCATAAGAATCATGGTTTCATATTTTAGTACCTGCTATAATAATACTACAATTAGCCCCAGAGCAGGAATCAGCTTCAACTCCCAGCTCAGTTAATTATCTAGCCTTGTGGCCTTGGGAAAGTCACAAAGCTCTTGGTGTCTTGCAGTTCTCTCTTATTAAAAGAGAGAGAGAGAGAGAAATTGATCATTCAGTTCAATGAGTCCAAGGTCCAACCTGTCTCCAGCCTGTCAGAGTAGTATTGAGTACTTACAGCCAATGAAAACATTTTCTTGACTTTCTGTTGGACTCGTTTTCTAGGTGTTTTTCTTCTGTATTTCCAAATGATTGTTTGCTCTTATTGGTATGCAAATCAACTTGATAACTTACCAAATAAATTTTCAAAAAGGGAAAATTCATCCATGGCTGGTAAATGGGAGTGTTCGATGAGATTCATTCTTGATCCCATACAAACTTTTCAGTTTGAGAATGCACTTCTGTTAAGATGGTATTCAAATAAAAATCCTGAAATGAAAATAAGTACAGTTCATGATGACAGGGTAAGTAGGGGAGTTAGTTAAAAGGGATAGAGAAGGAGGGAGAAGGTAATTTACAAAAGTACAAAATGGCTCTTTGGTAGACATTTTCCCACAGCCTTTCTGCATGTATCTTTTCTCAATATTTATCATGTTTACACTTTACTTGGACTTTAAAATGTCTAAGATGTGGTTTCACAAGAGATACTCTCTAATTTATATGAGAAAACACCATATTTTTTCATTTAAACTTCAGCACTTGGGAAATATAGACAAGACAGAATGACATTTCTTTTATCTGTAGAAGGAAAATCAGAAACAAATATAAAGGCATTGATTTAAACTGGGATGAACCCATGCTTTGTCATCTTAAATTTTATCAGAAACTTGAAAAGGTCTATATAAATACATGATGATTTAAAGATACTTCCTATTGAATTTTTTTAACTATTCATTATGTCAACAAATCAAAAATTCAACAGATGTTTTCTCAACATTTTGCCTTGTAGGGAAATTTTCAAAGATTTTCATTTTGACTGTTTTGTCTGTCTTGGCTGTACATTGGTCTAGGATTAAAAGAGATGGTAAGAGGAAGAAAAATAATGGTAAGTCTCACCAAAATGTCTGAAGTTTCATCCTGAAGAAATTTCCAGACTAAATCCAAGAGAAGCTGGGTTCACTTTGAGCTATCTCTGGGTCTTCTCGTTTTCCTTTCTTTTTCAACGATGTTTCCTACTTCTTTAAGAAGTAATTTGAAAGGCTGAATATTAAAAAAAGGGAGCCATCAGAACCTCTATTCCCAAGCTGTTTTCTGTAGATGATTTCTAAATCTTTTTATCCTGCCTTTGCCAAGATATCATTTTGTTTGCAAATAAATATTGATATTTATCACCCAGAAAGAGGATATCAAGATTTTGTTGGACAAATATTTATTTCATTCAAGTTTTCTGGGTATTGTTCTCTATTTCCCCCTCACTCACCAAATGTGCCAGCTCAAGTATAAATGAGTTTCATATATATTTGGCTGCCAGTAAAATAACCCACCAAAAACTAGTTTGCTTTATTTGCTCACTTATTCATACTTCCAACAAATATTTGTTGATCAACTGTTCTATAGTAAACCCTGTGTTAGCTCTTTGGAGACAAAATACTGAAGGTAAAAAATGTCTGTGACCCATAATGTCAAGCTTTGTGAGGAAGGTAGGCATTAAAAGTTAATCCCACATTCAAGTGATTACCTGTTGTCATGAAAGATGTTTATAAGGGCAAAAAGCAGGCTGCTTATTATAGTTTGGGTCTAAAAATATTTCCCCAAAGCTATGTGCTGGGGGCTCAATTGCCCAGTGATGGGATTTTAGAGGGCAGTTGGATCCTAGGACTCTAACTTCATCAGTGGTTTGATCATTGGTGGATTCATAATTTGATGCATTACTGGGAAGTGATGAATCCGTAGGAGGAGGTGTGGCCTAGTTAAAGGGAGCAGGCAAGGTTGGTGCAATCCTAGGGACTGCATCTGGACCTCAGCCCCTTCTTTTCTGGCTCTTTCTCCCTCTCCCTCTCTGATTCCCAGCTACCATAAGGCAAGCAGCCACACCTCTGCCACACTGTTGCACGGTGATATTTCTTCATTGTCTCAGACCTAAGAGCAAAGGAGCCCGCCCACCACAGGCTGGCACTGTGAGCTAAAATGAATCTTTGCTCCTTTGAGATGCTCTTGTCAGGTGTTTTGTCACTATGACAAAAAGCTGGTTGGCACAGTACTTTTATAGGGAGACCTGATGTGAAGCGATAGGGACCCAATGGGTGCAGAAGTAGCTGAAGGAAGACATAGTTTCAAGGGCAATTTTTTCCCTCCAAATCAGATTTTACTGGTACATTTCAGGTATACATAATGATCACAGAGAATTTGCACCTGTACATGATACAACATGGTTCTTTTTTTCCCATTCCTTTCCCCTCCCTTCAACCCCTCCCCCCTCCCCATTTACAAAAGTTTTGTTTCCATTTTTTCCTTCTTTTCTCATTTTTTATTACTTTTCCTTTCTTTCCTTCCCCCTCGCCCCTCTTGTTTTCCTCCACTTTTGAACATTTTCTTCCTATGTCACAATGCCTATTACACATTTTGGTTCAAGGTAAATCTTTAAAAGTGAGCAGTACTAGAGCACATCTCAATACACGAGAGAAGGAAGTGAGGAAGCAAGAATATGAGTGTCCTGAGGAGGGACGTAGACTGCACCCCCTGTGGGTGTGCAGACATACCCGAATCCATGTGGTAAGCAACAGCTCTCTGATCTGACTTTAGCTTTCCCCTGTGCTTTCTTTCTCCTCACATCTGTGATTTTTCTAAGAGGCAAGTTTTAGCTCAGTTTCCCAGGTGACCTTGAACTCCTGGCTTCAAGCGATCCTGTTAGCCTCCAAAGTAGCTGAGATGTAATCGTGCACCACTGCCCCCAGCATCCATCATTTCAACGTGAAGCAATATTCATGCAACTCCCCTTTTCTTCTGCAGCCTATTACAGCTCTCTAGCATTTTCTAGGAATAGTCATCTCCATTTTGGATTCCCATGATATATCTTCCTACATATGTTCCTATACACTTGGCACCTCGAATTCGAGTGCCTTACTTATCTGCTCCGTACTTACTTATCTGTATTTATTGTTTTCTTGCTTAGTTCTATCAAATTCCCTGACATTTGGCACACTCTCCCTGGAAAAATGACACAAATTTTGGCACAAATTCTACTGGCACAAATTTTAGGACGTAATTTATCACTTGCTTTCCCAAATGAAAGCCCAAGTCTCCTAGTTCTGCACCATTGGGTTATTACCCATGGCTGCAGACTCACTCAGGTTGGTGCTCCCACAGAGCTAGCAACTGGGCTCTGTAGATGCAGACGCAGAGCCCACTCAAACCAGGTTTGGATTCACGATTCCTGAAGGGAGTTTTAGAAAAGGAAACTCTTTCATCTTTGGCAATACAAGTCCCTGGTGTTTTGGCCTGTTCTATGTTTGCTATAACAAATTCCTAGGCTGGATAATTTCTCATGATTCTGGTGGCAGGAACATGGCACTGGGATCCCGGATGGGGTCCCTGGCTGCGTCACAACATGGTAGCGAAATGGATGGGGAATGGCACACGTGGAAGAGGTCAATTGCACAGACTGGACTCACTTGGTAACAACCTGCTCTTGGATGAACGACTCCAGTTTGCTGACAAGCACTTATCCCTCTGAACATGGTGCCCCATGCGATCCAGTTACCTTCCACCAGATTCCACTTACTGGTTCCACCAGCTCTCAACACTGACACACTGGGAAACCAAGCTTCCAGTGCATGAATACTTGGAGGACATGCTCAGATCTCAGCCATCTGTTGCACATGGTATGCAAGTTGAACTGTGCCCTGCAAAATGTCTTCCCAGCTCAGCCATCTACTACCCTTATCCAAATATAATTACAATGGCCAATTTCTTGTGTAGTCTTCTGATACTATGCTTACTCTTTAGCATAAAGGGAACTTGAAACACTATTATAAAACCAGAGTCTGGCAAACTATTACCTGCAGACCCAACCTGGCCTACTGCATTTTTCCATAGCCTGTGAGCTAACGATGATTTTAAATTTTCAAGTGGATGCATAAATCAAAAGAATATTTCCTGACATACGACATTTAAAATTCAGCATCCATGAAGAAAGCTTTACTGGGCACAGAGCGACCATCATTTTTTACGGAATGTCTATGACTGCCTTTTGCTTACAATTGGCGGACTTCAGTAGGTGCAACACAAGATTACAAGCCCCATAAAACTAAAAGTATTTAGTCCTTTGCCTTTTGCAAGGACTAGACAGCTAGGGGCCAAGGATGTAGCTCAGTGGCACAGCACCTGCCTGGCAAGCATGAGGTCCTGAGTTCAATTCCCAGTTCCAAAAAAGAAAAACAAAGCAGAAAAACTACTTTAATCCCTGCCTTATTCAAGGATGTAGAAGAATCAAAGGAACATGGTAAGTAAACAATCAATATAGATAATGATTACTGTAAGGATAAACCTACTTAATTATATACACTTCAGAATAGCACAGGCGTCTTCATTTCTCACAAGCTTCTTGTTGGGATTAGTAGCCTGAGGCTATCTGCAAGTATTTCCATATACGGTAATACCTTGCTTCATAAACACTTCTGTTCACAAACAATTCGGTTCTCAAACAAAAGTGTTCAACAAAATTTTGCTTCTGTTCACAAACTCCACAGCAGGTGACAAACACAACCGTGGCCATCTTTCTCCACCCAAACCCAGATACAGCCATCTTCCTCAAAATCGTAAATTAAGTTCGTGAATCAAATTACCACTGTATATTATCTTTTTAATCAAGGTTAGTGCTGTATGCGTCTTTCTCCACTACTCTTGCCTTCTTACTGGGGGAAGGACTGTAATAGGAAAGTAATTTGTAGGACACCCCAGACCTTAAACCTGGAGTCTTTCCCACCCTCTTAAATGATCCATTCCATAGAAAGAGACGTTTTGTAGCTTAAGAGTAATTTCTGCTTATTCACAGCACTAGTGATCTTTGACTAGCTTTGCTCACTTTGCTCCTTAAACAAGTTTAAAAAACAATATGCTCCTTCAACACATTTTTTGGGGTGAACTTTTAAGTTTTTCACCAAAAATGAAAACAGCTGCAATGGATATAACTTCTGACACATTATAAAAAGTGACATTTTTACATATTGCTGCATCAATTAGCAGCAATTAAATCTGGATACCACAGCAATTTAATACTCTTCCTCATCCTTTTAAGAAATACATGGAGATGTTTTTAAACAGCTGGAAACTTGTTAAATCATTCCTGTTCTACCCATATTTACATTTCATTCCACTTCACTGGAGAACTTTATCCCAATATAGCATAGTTCTGTGCTTGAGAGTCCATTACTGATCATCGTGTTGTAATTTTCTACCACTGAAATATGTATATAAATTTGAATTTGTAAAAAAAATTTAATGACCTTAGATTTAAATATTTCGTTTTTCTGGGTCGAGTTGATTGCTAGCAATCATTAGTGCTATCTTGATCAGACCTGCAAGGGGCTGGCTCAGTCTCCGCACTTAGGGGCACGGGCAGAGAAAGCGGCCCTGGAGAAGGGGGAACGCAGCGCTCACCCTAACCCCAGCCCTGCCCCAGGAGGTTCTCAGGCCCTGGCAGGCCACTGCCACGCGCAGCAGTCTGCAAACACAGGCTCTAGAGGAGGCAAACTGCTTGAGACAGTTGGACTCTAAGCGATTTCTGAGCGCCTAAGAGCACCCTGGGGTAATAACACAAGCCCAAATAACAGGAAGCCGCCGTTTCCGGTCGGAAAATCCAAGCGTGTGTGCTAATGAGAAGGGAGTAAGTACAGAGTCAGAGCAGACCGAAGAACAGCCAAACACACACAGTCGTTTCTATCCTCTGCTGCAATTCCCAGCTCTGCCGCTGCCCTGGAGGTGGGGCCCGGTGAATGTGGGGTGGATTCACCAGCTGCTGGTCTAGGTCAGCTTGATCATTCTCGATTAGTAGCTTAGTTAACTAGTCCCGACTGGAACGATTCTTTTTTGCACTGTTTTTCTGAAAAGTGCTCAACATGTATTTCTTAAATGAAGGTATTTTCATAGTAAAGGAATCATTGCAAAAAAATCAGCAATACAGAAAAGCATAAATGCCCAAATTGCATTCTATCTGTTTTTTCCAATTTGCACACCCATCAGGAGTGAACAAGAGCACCTTT